CCTCGCTAGGCTGGACCTCACCGACACATGCGAGCTCACCAACAGACGCAAGCTCACCCAATAGGCGAGCCTCGCCATGCTGAACTTCGCGGTAATTTTTCCAAGTGTTCTTTCAAATGCTCTCTTGAGCCCTCCTCTCACAAGCACTCGGTTGGTCCTTCTTAAACTGTAGGTTATCGCCATCAACCTACAGGGGATTTTAGAGAGTGCTTGACTCGCAAATACATGACTCACGAGGCAAATCCTTAGTGCCACTACGAGAGGCTTATTATAGCAGTACTCATTGACTGCCAATGTACTAAACCATCAAAGCCTTCGGTGTTCGAGAGGCTCTATAAGCAACCGCCAGAGGTAAGACCTCCTCACCGCAGACCCAATCATCACAGGAGACGAGCTTTCGATGATGTGGAGCTCCCCGCCATAACTGTAAATGTGACAATGAAGTCCAAGGCCAAGAATTCAAATTCCTCGGATCCTGGATTCTTGTCGGAATTGAAAAGCCTCTCCATTGACCGTGAAGGTATCTACCAACACACTCGCTCCCATACAAGGGTGGCCATTCCGTTTGATTACACACGTTTAGTTCCCGTCTCTGATAATGGCAATGATGATTGCACGGTAGTGGTAACGTCTCAAACTTCAAGCTCTATTCAGGGAGAAAGCGCGGAAGTGCACGTGACCAACATCCCTGATGAGATATCCATGAGATTTGATGAGCAACAAGCAACCATCAACTCTATGAAGGAGATGTTGGAGCAGCTTCTGAGTAACAAGAAGAAGAAGAAAGAGAGGACTTCACGGACTTCACGGAAATCATCAAAGCATAAAGAGCGGGTGCCTACTCCTTCTCACTCCTCATCCGAGTCATCTAGAGGAGCGTCATCTTTGGGTCATATTCCAATCGATAAAATACTTGACAAGTTCCAAAGTCAACTCGATGCCTTAAAACTCCAGACGTACAGGAACGAGCTGGGGGTGATTAGACCATATCCAGTTGAATGAAACACGGTCTCATACCTGACAAAGTTCAAGCCACTTGACATCATGTAGTTCGATGGCAAGGGTTCTCCTACCGAACATGTTTATTACTTCCAGGTGCAAACTGGACATATAGTAGGAAACGATCCCATTATGACTCGACTTTTTATTGGTACCCTCAAGGGGGTCACTTTTGAATGGTACCACAGATTAGAGACTGAGTCCATCACCTGCTAGAAGGACATGAAAAGACTCTTCATGGCCAGATTCTTCGACGATGACATAAAAGTATCTATGGCCACCCTACTAGCTGTAAAGCAGAAGAAGACAGAGTTTGTAAGTAACTTTGTCAAGAAATCCAGGAACCGATCACTGCATTCCCGTGATCAGGTTTCTGAGGCCACTCTCATCGAGATGTACCAGAACAATCTCTCCATCGATATTCTATCCAATATGGGCATTGTCCAAGCTTTCTCATGAAAGGACTTAATCCGCCAAGGAGAACAAGTTGAGAGTATGCTCTAGCGTATGGATGCTGAAGAACCGTGTGAATGTCGAGGAGGTGATGACAAGGATACCTTTGTGGTGGAAACCACTTCCTCATCCAAACCCTCTTCAAAACAGAGGGGCAATGCTTCAAACCAAAAGAAGCCCCGAAAGAAGCTCATGATGGCATCTGTATAGCCCGCCAACTCAGATCTAAACTGTAGGACCGACTGCGAAGACTTGGCTACTATTGGCCAAAGATGATAGAAGACGCTTATATGCGTCAAACACCGGAGAACCAGCATCCGACGGCCACTTCATATCCATTCATAGTGGAGACGGTCTACTCGAATGGGCAATGTGTCAGTACAGAAGATGATTTCATCCTTCAACTCCTGCGAGATCGACTAAGGCGTATTTACCTTTAATCTTGATTATCGCTGGAGTAAGGTTAGTCTCGGTTTCTCTACAAAACTATGAACTATCTCGATTCTTCTTCTGATAGAGTCATGACGACTTGAAGCTCGTCATTAATCAGCTCCACCCAAAACTATCATGTTAACAGTCACCTCTGATAGTCTCTTACAAATTTGCCCCGTCGATCCTCTCCAACAGGACGATGGGTCCACTCCCACTGTCATGTTAACACTACGCTTTTTACAATCTACTTATCAATCCTCTTCAACTGGATGATAAGTCTACATAGTCGCTCCGATGGTGAGAATCCTGTCATGTTAACACTACACCTCTGATAATCCACTTATCAGTCCTCTTCAATAGGATGGTAAGTCCTCAAAGTCGCTCTGATCGCGATAATCCTATCATGTTAACATTACACCTCTGACAAATCAACTTATTAATCCTCTTCATTAGGATGGTAAGTCCTTAAAGTCTCTCCGATCGTGGCAATCTTGTCATGTTAACATTACACCTCTGATAAATCAACTTATCAATCTTCTTCAATAGGATGCTAAGTCCTTAAAGTCTCTCCGATCGCGGCAATCTTATCATGTTAACATTACACCTCTGACAAATCAACTTACCAATACTCTTCAATAGGATGGTAAGTCCTCAAAGTCTCTCTGATCATGACAATACCATCATGTTAACACTAAACCTCTGACAAAGCCCCCTCCAATCCTCTCCAATAGAATGATGGGTTCACAAAGCTATCATGTTAATGATTACCTCTGATAGTCAACTTCTTCATTGCCGTAAATGACGTTGTATGATCAGTGGTCACACTCCTACGTCCCTGCACGATTTGATCCATTCTGAGCATTCTAAATATCCTCAGAACAATCGATAATAGTAGCCTACCATTCGATGTGCTACTTATCTAATCAGTCATCATACTCATACGTCCCTGAACGATTTAATTATCCTAATACCATCACTTTCGCAAATAATATTATTCTTCGATAGAGGCCTACCAAGAAATGTGTCCTATCGATTCCCGAACGACAACCTACCAAGTGATGAATCATTATTCGAACCCTCGAGCGATCACTTATACACACGGTCACTCATCTTTAGGCTAAGTCGTTATATTTAACGACATGGCCTAACCTAATTATAGCTTAACGGTTGTAATTAACTTAACCTAACACCTCGAACAGCTAAGGGTAGAGAAGAAATTTTAGCGTTAAGTTTATAAGAAACTTCTCGACAACTCATCATACTGAGGGGAATAGTATGGCTAGCCCGATTCAAACGATAATTGGTAAAAGGCAAATCAAACCCATTAATAGCTGAGGGTTTGCTAAAACTCCTAGTTGGCGATCATTAGCTGTGACTGAAGAGTTTAATTTTGCTGAGCTCGCTGGAAAGCTCCTCACTCCGTCTGAACGGGGATCATTCTATAGGTCTTACGATCCAAAGTATTCCAGATCCCATGCAACACAGTTTAGGTCTGAAAACTTTAGAGGGGGTTTTATAGGCAATAAAAATTTCCTTTATACATGCACAACAACTTAGAATAAGAAAAAAGTTCAACAGTCCATTTGAGTGAAGTCAGGCCCACCTAAGCAAAGTCAGACACACCTGAAAGTCAAGTTCGCCTGAATGCTTGACTTCACAAAACAGACAAAAATACTAATATATCTCAAACCAGAGGGAATTTGGAAAAATGAATGGAAACAAACTGAACTTTAGTCAGTTTTTTCGGTCCCGCCTCATTGAGATAGTCGATTTTTATATATATTTCGTCTAATTCCGACTTACGGTTTGAAAGTTATGACCTATTCTTTGTAGCATGTTCTGGAGCTCGCCTGAAGAGTAAGCTCGCTTGCAAAGGAGTTTAACTTGCCTGAAGAGCAAGCTCGCCTGAAAGCTTGAAGCTTTAAGCTTGCTTGAATGAGGCTGGCTCACCTGCACAGCCTCGCCTACCAAGCTCGCCTAAAGGCTTAAAGCTTTAAACTCGCCTAAATGAGACTGGTTCACCTGCACAACCTCGCCTATCAAGCTCGCCTGATAGCTTGAAGCTCACCTGCATGAGCCAAGCTCGCCTGACAGCTTGAAGCTCGCCTGCATGATTCAGGCTTGCCTAAAGGCCAAGCTCGCCTAGCAGTTGGAAGCTCTCCTGCTTGACCAAGCTCATCTAACAGCTGGAAGCTCGCCTGCAGCTCGCCTGCACAACGCAAGCTCAACTGCAAGCTTGACAAGACCACCCACTTGAGGAATGGGAGAGGTCACTTCCCATGATTTAAGGGAAATACTATGATTCTCCTCGTGGTCATACCCAGTATGGGAATGGTCACTTCCCATGATTTAAGGGATTAGTCATGATTCTCCTCACGGTCATACCCAGTATTGGAATGGTCACTTCCTATGATTTAAGGGAGTGGTTACACCCTCCTTTCTCTCTCTAAAAATCCAA